TCTGAAAGTGGACATACAGAAGGCCAAGAGACATGAAAACATGCTCAAAGTCACTGATCATCCGAGAGACGCAAATCAAAATGACAATGAGGTGCCATCTCACACCTGTCAGAATGGCTATCATCCACAAATCAACAAATGACAAGTGCTGGCGAGGATGTGGAGGAAGGAACCCTCGTGCACGGCTGGTGGGAATGCAGGCTGGGGAAGCCACTGTGGAGAACAGTATGGAGCTTCCTCCAAAAATTAAATATGGAACTGCCATTTGACCCTGTGATCCCACTTCTAGGCATATATCCTAAGAACCCAGAAACACCGATCAGAAAGGATGTGTGCACCCCTGTGTTCACAGCAGCACAATTTACAATCGCGAAGATCTGGGAGCAGCCCAGGTGCGGGCCCTGCGCTTGGCAGAGTCACCCCGCAGGCTGTCTTGCACCCACTGTAAGGCTGCTTCATTGTGGTTCCCTATTGCACCTCATCATTACACAGAAGGGATTTGGTTTTTTCGTTTTTTTATTCATTTTTTAAAATATATTTTTATTGACTTCAAAGAGAGAGAGGGAAAGGAAGAGAGAAACATCAGCTGCCTCCTGCACGCCCCACACTGGGGATCGAGCCTGCAACCCCGGCACGTGCCCTGACCGGGAATCGAACTGTGACCTCCTGGTTCATAGGTCGACGCTCAACCACTGAGCCACGGCGGCTGGGCAGGAATTGGTTTTTTCAGTTGTTCACCTTGTACCTGCAACATTACCCAGTTTTCGGAGGGTTTTTAGTCTTTATTTTTGGTTGATTCCTTGCAGTTTTCCAAGTAGAGATTCTGTTGTCTAAACTTGGTCAGGCTTATGTTTTGTTCTCCAAGGGGGCGCCCTGCGCTGGTGATGACCTCGATGTGGGATGCAGGGGCGGGGCGGGCTCGGCCAGGCACCCGGTGGGGGCCACGCGGGCGTCCCCCTGAGCGTGATGCTTGCGGGAGGTGTGCTGGGCGGCTGGGCGCGATGTACAGGTTCCCATCTCCTCTCGATCATGAACGCAGGCTGGGTTTTCTCAGGTCCTGCTTTTCCTTGACTTGAGTGATGGGTCCTGCCTTTTCCCTTTAGACTTGCCGTACGGTCAGCGACGGTGGTGTATTTGTCGGAGCTGAATAGCTGACATCCGAGGTAAACCCTCCTGGTGTGGTGTATTGTTCCCTGTATGTATCAGGGACTCAGCGGCCGATGTCCTGCTGTTGACTCTGCCCGTGTTCGCGGGGACGTCGGGCCGCGGGTCCGTTATCGCGCTGCCTCGTCTGGTTCCTGTCAGCATCGTGCGGCCTCCCGGGGACTCGGAGCGCCCCTCTCCCTCCGTGTCCGGGGAGCTCGGCTTTGAGGAGCAGATGCCGTGGGGCTGGGGCTGTGCGCTCGCCCTGCACGTGGGTCACACCCTCTCGGGGCAGGTCTGACGGCTCTGCAGCCGCCTGTGTCTGGTCCTGACGCAGCCCCCGCTCAGAGCAGAACGGTGGTGACTCCAGAAAAGCTGCGGACATGGTGCGGAGCTCCCTGCACTCTGTCTTCCCTCTCCGGTTCACGCCTCACGGGACGGGCACCCCTGCGGGCTCCTTGTTCACCCGGCACGGCCGCCAGGGCACCAGGGGGCCTCGTCTCTGCGTCCGGTGCCCTGTGCCCCGTCTGTCTCCCGACACCGTAGCGCAGGCTCGTCTGCCGGCCTGTTGTCTCCTGCGACACCGAAGGTCTGGGGGGCAGAGGCGACCCCATGTGAGTGCCTTCTTGTCACACCAGACCCCCAGGTCCCTCCTCGGTCCGTCTCCTGCGTCTCGCATTTTACTGTCAGCAGCGGGGCCAGCGCTGTTCAGCACGCTGCTCAGCCTCCTCGGCACATAGGTGTCCGCCGCGCCCGAGCACAGACAGCCACGTCCGCCACGATGCGGTCCCAGCCACCCCCTCCCGTTTCCAGAAACACTCTTCCCTCTGAGCCCCGCCTCCCAGAGCCCTTGCCTCCTGTTCCCAGCGCGCCCGGGCCCCACCCTCAGGACCTCGCCAAATGGTTACCTTCCAAACGCCGCGCCGGACCACACCTGGGTCAGGGCTTCAGCCCAGGGCGAGGGGCAGGCATGCGGTCCCTGCAGGACCCTCCTGTGAGGGCCCGAGCTGGGGTCACCTCCCACGCCCAGTCCCTGCCGAGGACTTCGAAGGTCGTTTAAGGCCGTGGCCACTGGTGTCTGCAGTGAGCCTGCCATGCTCGGTGCGGGACACACAGGGCGGACGAGAGGACAGCGGCACCAGCGGTGACAGCGTGACTCGGCCGAGCCCTGAGTGCGGGCAGCCAGCAGGCGTGGGGGGTGTGAGGGGGGGATCCAGGACCCTTGGGAGATGGGCCTGCACTGCCTCGCTCCAGCCCCAGGCTGCTCCCACGGCACCTGTCCCCCAGCCGCTCTTCTCTCAGGGTCCCACTTGTAGCATGTTCCTTACAGATGCTTTAGGCAAGAGAGCACCCCCTCTTCCAGCGGATTTCTACACACTCACATGTGCACACATTCACGTGCACATACACTCACATACACGCAACCTCTCACAGCACACTCACATGTGCATGCATACTTGTGTACACACACACACAGCCTCTCACAGCACACTAACATGCACGCATACTCGTGTATACACATACACACAACCTCTCACAGCACACTCACCCACATGTGTGCACACACTCATGTCTACAGGCACACACAAACATGCACGTGTGAACATACACATGTGCACATATACACTCACTTCACACGTGCGCATATCCATACATGTGTGTACATGTGTCTGGCACATGTGCGCATACACACTCACGTGCAAGCATGTATGCGCACATGCACACTCACACATGCATGCGCACTCTTTTAGCCGTTCTCTTCCCCTCTCCTACGACCAGGCACCAGGTGCCCGAGGAGGAGGACAGGCAGGAAGGCCCCGTGTGAGACGTGCGGACGGGGTGGCTCTCCGGGTTTGCTCGCAGAGCAGGGCGGACTGTGCCGTTTTTTCAGCGTCTGCAGCCGACAGACACTGGTTTGAATCCGGCCCTCGAGGACATTCACTCACGAGCCTTCAGAATCTGAATGCCCTGTTTTCCAAAGGGCCTCAGAGGCACAGCGTGCCCGAGGGAGGGGGCCTCCTGGAGGGGACCCCACCCCGCACGGGCGCCTCTGCTGGTCCCCGGGCCCAGAGGGAGGGCACCCCCCACGCCCCCAGCGCCTGTCTGCTGCTGTCCCACGTGGTGCTCTCGCGCTCCTCGTCACTTCTTGTCACGTCTCCTCGTCGTTTCTGGGACAGTGTCCTCCGCAGGTCCTCTCCCCCGGGCTCCCCCTGTCCCCTTCTGTCCAGTGTGGTCCCCGGGACTCCCTCCTCTTCAGGACTTCTCCATTGGAGCAGAGGCCAAGGAGGCACCCGCCAGCCTCTGCCTGGGCCTCTTACAGGGCTTTTAACGTCCTCCGTGGACGTCAGCCTCACGTATGTGCATTTGGGAACAGAACTGGGGCCTCTCTCGTGACCGCTCTCCCCGAGGGCGGTGGTGTCACGGCCTCTCCCCGCAGGGTGAAGGTGGAGGAGCTGGAAGGGGAGCGCAGCCGCCTGGAGGAGGACAAGCGGAGGCTGGAGGCGCAGCTGGAGCACCTCACCCTGCAGGTGAGCCCATCGGAGCTGGGCCCTCCGTGTCCCTGCCCCACATCCCCTCCTCTGGCTCAGACCTGCTCCATGCACGCACCACCCGCTGGAGCAGGTGTCCCAGGCCCCGAGAGGACACCTGCCACGAGGGCTGACCCAGCCAGGCCGCAGCCTTGTCCGTGTGTCAGCGCCGCCGCGGGGAGGGGTCGTGGTGTGGCTGGTCCGAGCCCTGCCCCCGGCATTGGGGAGGTTGACCTGCTGTTCACACCGTGCACTTGCGCTGCTTTTGTCTGTCCTCCTGTGTCCATTGTCCTATGGCAGGAGGCCTGCAGGCTACCCCCACCCAGGTCTGGACAGCCCCTCGATTTTTATCTTGACACCTACTCGAGACAAATCCATCCTGTTCTTATTGCCAATTCCTGGCAATGTGGAGGTGACAGCTGTGAGGGAGCCAGGCGCAGTGAGCGTGGCCGTGGCCGGGCTGTGCACAGCGCCCAGCCCGTCAGCTCAGACCGGTCATTGGGCCGCGGCCTCGTGGAGAGCCGGCTGCTGGCAGGTGGAGCCTGGGGGCAGAGGCGCTGTCAGAGGCGCCTGGGGACGCGTTCTGGCTTTTTCATCCTGCAGCCTGAGGTCGCTGATGGCTCCGGGCCTCCCCCATCAGCCAGCAGTGAGTCCCGCGAAAGTTTTTCTTTTTCCTGCTCCGGACGCGGCGCCCACCGGCACGGGGCTGCGCAGGGCAGAGGGGCAGAGGCCAGCACTCAGGTGGACACGGTCTTTCCGGTGGCAGGAGGACAAGGAACCTTCACGTTGGGCTCAGGGACGGGTCCAGGTGGCGGGGGTGGCGTGCAGAGTGCCGGCGGGTGGAGAGGGGCTTCCTGGCGGGGCCGG